GCTGCCGTGAGTGAACGCGTGGATGGTAATACACTGATGACTTTGATAACTACTTAAATTGACTTTGCAATACTTTACCCTCCATGGTCATTTCAATTCCACTAAAAACTGACATTTGAACTCGATTGTACCACAAAAACTCAGAGCCAACATCCAGTTCATTTTGAATTGCTTTTTACCAAGATTCTATCCTTGACAGAATAACCCGATTTCCGTGAAAATCCTAGTCACTTGGACAAGTTTTCCAACCACCTCAAATTTTTCTTTTTTTGAAGTTTCTTTGCACTCTGTGTGGTTATTACGTAACTACTAATTTTTAAGCCGCTAGACAACGTCAGCTTGCTATGATTTTTGAGCACAGCTACGGCTTTGAAAAACAGATATTCGTACTCAGCCAGTATTTCTCGCTAGTCTTTGTCGACTGTCATCTTAAGGAGCCGAATTTCTTTAAACTCAGTTTCTGTATTTCGAATGGTTAAGTACAATACATGGTGCTCCGCATGAATATACGTTCACCCATGAGTTGCCCGAAAACTCGTGACTCTAGAGATGCCTCTAATTGAAAATTGTGACAAGTATTGATCACGGTTCGCACACGGCCCCAAATTTCCAGTAGAAAAGCGCTATGTTTTTCATCTTCGTTTTTTGAGAAAATCGCATTGGTCCGTTTCGCAAAAAGGTCCCTCCACCTTTTGTTACTGCTCTCCAAACGTAACGCTCTTTTTGAGGTCGGCTGAGAGAGAACTATGATGAGACCAAGAAAAAATTCAAAAAAGAGAGGCAATAGTCGTTTAAGCTACGATCCGCACAGGATTTGACCGCTGCCACGATGCCCTCGACAGAAAAAACATCATCAAGCATCCTGGAGCGTATGGAACTGAAAAGCCTGCAGACGTCCTTCACAGCTTTCGATTAGGGATTACTCGTCCCTTGATCGTCGATTTCCTCGAGCGGGTGCCAATAACGTCTCCAACCGTCCCTGTCGCGAGCCAGAGTAGTCCAGTGAATCATAATCGCTCGAGGGACACGGGGCGAAACATTCCTTTTGTTCAGAGCTTTCGTGAAGAAGTCTGACCATTAGGCCGGTCGTCAGGTGTTCGTTTGACNGAAAAGCCTGCAGACGTCCTTCACAGCTTTCGATTAGGGATTACTCGTCCCTTGATCGTCGATTTCCTCGAGCGGGTACCAATAACGTCTCCAACCGTCCCTGTCGCGAGCCAAAGTAGTCCAGTGAATCATAATCGCTCGAGGGACACGGGGCGAAACATTCCTTTTGTTCAGAGCTTTCGTGAAGAAGTCTGACCATTAGGCCGGTCGTCAGGTGTTCGTTTGACGTCCTGAGGGATCCAATCCGTAGCGGCCCTGGTCCAACGGTCATCACTATATCGCATGACGTGCTCTGTCCATCTGATTTTCGGTTTCTTGACGTATCTAATGGCATCCCTGATCTTCGTTCGCCGACGGAGCTCGGAACCCCGGATTCCCCTCTGCACTTGCGTATGTAGGGCAATTTCAAACATCGTCCTCTCCACAGTGCGTTCAATGACGCTAACTGCATGCTCATCCTGCTTTCGTAGAGTTCAAGCCTCTAAGGCGTATGTCAAAACAGGAAGGACAGTAGTGTCGAAAGGATGAGCGCGGAGTCCGATGTTCTTCTCTTTCTCCACTACTCCTTCGATGTTCTCAAATGCATCCCACGCTGCGCGCTTCCGTCTGCTCAGCTCCGATGCTATGCCGTTCATCATATTGACTTCCCGAGCTAGATACACATAGCTAAAGCATTCATAAATATTCATTCCGTTCAGCGTGAGAAGAGCATCAGGCAATAAAGCGTTTCGCATGAACATCGTCTTCGTTAGGTTCAGTCGTAATCCGATTTTTCCACAAGCGTTGTTGAATTCAGCATTTGTTCCGCCTGCTCGATGTTCCGTGTTAAAAGCACGATGTCATCTGCAAAGCGGAGATGATGGAAGTAACGGCCGCGACCTTCATGCTCATGTTTTCCCATACCATATGATGTTGTTCTCGAGAGCGGCACTGAAACGTTTGGGCGAGATGGTATTCTTCAAGTCGATGAACTCAGTGAGTCTTGTAACGGTGTGTATGTGATCGACTGTACGGAACCCTCTCCAAAACCGTGCTTGCTCGCATGGCTGTCCTTCATCTAATATTCTGCCAATTTTGTTAAGGATGACTCGTTTGAAGAGTTTATAGATTACAGATAGCAGACAAATTGGGCGATTATTGCCAACGTCGTCTGGATCTCCCTTCTTATACAGCAGCACGGTCTTGCTAACTTTCCACGAAATAGGCACTTTGCATTCCTACAGGTACCGCGTGACAGGGTTTTGATAATGACTGGAGAAGGCTCTTTAGATGTTGTGCTTTGATCCTGAGCAATCTGATTTCGATCAGTTAGGGATAAGCGGTGGATTCCAGTACGGACACCGAACACGACAGAGTCATGCCTTGAATAAAATCTTCTCAAGCCTCAATGTTTCAACGAACACAATTTACCGGACGATATCAAAGTCCAACTTCATTGGTCGGTAAAAAATTGAGGAAAGCCCCGTTCATGACCACGAGACATCAGGAATCCCGAGTCGGCCTAAAAAAAGACCTATTTGATCTGACAGGGAGAATTTGGTTGTTCCTTTCTCCGGGAAAAAGTGTCTGTCCCTTTTCGAGTTCTGTGCTCTCCGATGGAAAAAAAAGTTTGACTCTGCGGCTGGACCGGGTGGCAAGTGATCCTACTGGCACGATCTCAAAAAGGAGAAACTATATTCACGACAGAGTTTCAAGGGGAGCGTGAGGTTTGGGCAGCAAACACATCGACAGGGCCACTGAAGTTATGCTTCTTACCGAAAAATATGGGTTCTTTCCGCTATCTGGTTGCTACGAGGCACGCTCTGCTTCCTTTTTGTTGCCAGATTCGGTGGCAAAACTTGAAACATTATTCTGCTGAGTGGTCCATCTTTTTGCGGAGCACACCAGTGAGAGTCTCACAAGGTTGGCGACTTGTGGGCAAAACTCCAGTCTCGGACGGGATTCGACCCCGTACTTGTGCTTTCCGGGAACCGTGTGAGTGCTGATAAGCTATGGCATATAAGCCATTAAAAAGGCGTGGGCAAGCGGGGTCTCTGTAGTGTAAGGTATAAGAGCACGGTCCCCGGAAAGGACAAGTACGGGTTCGAGTCCCGTCCGAGTCTGGAGTTTTGCCCACAAATCGCCAACCTTGTGAGGCTTTCGCTTCGCACACTGCGACGTTAAAATTGCAGTTAACAAAACATCAAGTCAAAACACCAGTGAGACTTTTTCAAAAAAAAAATAAGGAATAAAGATATTTCTCTATCTAATGGTTGTATGCAAATTTCGTTATCCGTTTGCTTCGGGAATTGGTCTGATAATGTAATCTAACCAATGAGGTTCCTGTGTTAGCGTACTTACGAGTGCATTTTATAAATATAAAGCAATAATAAATCTCAGACCAGGTTATAGGTAGAATAGCCAACACTGCGCATCCCGACTTACGATGCAGAGTTTTCAAGTATGTCTTTGAGATTTATTTATGGCGTCTTTCCCTCTCCAGGTACTTATGGTCATTCACCAATCATTCTCTCAATGGCTAGCTGACGTCAAGCAATTACAAAAAACTGGTTACCCGCATATAATTGCCGGTTCCGTTCCAAGATTTTCGAAGGCCGCTGTAATGCGCTATGACTTCGATGATGGAAACCCTTAATTGTGCTCCATCCAATTAGATGCAATGGTTTGAATAGTCCAAAAACGAACTGTTTTGTAATCAATGAGTGTTCAGAAGTTAGCTTATCTATGTTTTATAGCATTCTTTCATTCCCTTGAAGCTAAAACCCACAGGTGCCTATACTCAGAGGTGAACAATAAAGTTGATAGCTGAAAATCGTTAAAGGCAACCCATCAGCTCTGAGAGGGAACAGTTTGATCACTTACTCTAGAATATATAAGGAATACTTGTCTCGCCGCCTTACCTCGACGTCTTGTTCAGCAGAAGTAGGAACCACCACCACTGTAGAAAGTACTGGACGTTTTGGGATGCGAACAAAGCCATCACCGAGCCACAAGGGTCTGTAAAATTATGTAAATTCAGACTTGAGCGAAGAAGGGTTACCATAGAACATGGGTTTTTCTACTTGTTCTTAATATCATTGAAGAATATGACGAATAGAAATGAAAAATGTGAAGTGCAAGCGGTATATCTACAAGAAGATCATCTGTACTTCATTTATGTAACACGACAATATTTACGCCATGATGAAATATCATCTAGGCTAAATCGAGTGAAAAGGAAGCAACTGGATTTCTTTTGGAATTTGCTCATTCGAAATTCTCATAGGAGGTGATAATCACTCAAGCAGGAACGCCGTCATCTGTGTTCGGAAGAATGCCGAATGGAAGCTAACCACTATTCATCAGAAGATTCCAGGAGCAATCAAATAAGAGATATGATAACAAGCTTTGAATAGGCAGGTACAAGGAGGGGGACACCTTGTTACTCTTCAACTTACGGCTTTCAAGGTAGGATGGAGTCGTTAGGATCAGGTTAAGACAAAAGGAAGGTGGAATCATCATTGGATCGCAAGACTTCTATTCATATATACCATGGATTAGATGCACGAAATTCACTTAAACTCCAGTAGCTTCATGCAAGGAAAGCGGAATAATATGAAGCAGTTTGTAGAAAATTGTTATTCCTGGTGGAAGAGAGGGAGGGGTGCATTATATTGTCCTCTTTCCTATTCAGAAGCAATTTAGTGTATAAATTTGGAATTGCCAGCGACATGAGAAGAGGAGGGACTGTGTGAACGCCATAAGAACGAAATTTTATGGAGAATCGGGAGTGGGAAGCTCGGCTAATTTTTTTTGATAATACGAAAAATGTCGAATTAGAGATGGCATGCTCAGTGTTTAGTAAGTTAATAGTGTTTAGTAAGTTAATAAAATAATATCGTAAATTCTGTAACTCACATCTCTTTGCCATTGACTTTGGTGGTGCGAGCTTCTTTGGCCAATACAACATTCAGCATCGGTCGGTATACTCGTAAAGTTTGCTTTGGAACAGTATCGTCTTTGTAGGGCAAAAGGAGATTGGCCGGATCGTATGCACTCAAACGTTTGACTCGTAGAGTTTCAAGTAAACTGACGCCTGGTAGGAAGAACAGCAAGTACAGCAACGGAAGCATTTAGCAGCTATGTTGGTTGGTAGTAACCGGTATCCAGCGCAATCGCACGCCTTTATACGTGTCGATGATACAGCTAAGCGGCAGCTTAGCTGGAACGCTTAGAACAAAGACAGATAAACATTCAGTCAAGCAGATAGTAGTAAAATAGCCGATAACCAAAGCCTTTGGTCAGCCTGCAGACGAGTTCCAGCCTATAACATTCTCGCTCGCTGTAGGCGGACCTTAGACAGAGTTTACTAGTTTTGCTGTTTTGTGGTGTTTCTGACCATCACAGATGAGTACGCAATAGGCTCTATGCCTCCCGGAAATGTCAGGAGAACCGAAAAAATTTCTAATAAAAGGTCTAACACCGGATAGCCGATTTCGTTCGTTTGAGCAGTGGGACGTTGAGCTTCGAAGGAGAGGACTATGTAGAACCGCTATACCGTTAAATTATAAACTAATGAATTGTTCCGACTGAAAATCTCGCACTTCACAAGAATACTACAATCACAACCAACTTTGCGAGGTTAAAGCAGTATTTGACGAAGTACCGCCAGCAAAGTGGTCTCTCGCATACTCGCTATAACGGGTGGTAGAAGGGGCAATTGACGCACTATGTAAAACACATGCATGGTTCGGGGATCGAGTCCCTGATCGACACTCGCCCACGCCAACCGAGCCCTTCATCCCTTCGGGGTCGCTTGATTGATACCAAACACGCATGGGAAGATAAAAGCACTGACTTGTACATATGGCGGTCACCACAAGAGATTGTATATACATCGCGAGATAGACATTGCGCGTCAAAACGTCACTACTCTTCTGAATAAAATTGAATTTGAGAAAGCTCCATATGAGAAAAGCCTAGATTGGAGTAAGTAAAGTGAAGCAGTTAGTAATGACGATGCTCTTGGGCCGCACGAGGCTCCAAGGTAAATCGTTTTACAGTCAGCGGCCAGACGAAGACTGTTCAAGTGGTAACAGTTTGAATTAGAAAACAGGGGAAGCATTAATATCGGCGAACCATTTCAAAGACAGTGGTTCAAAGACACAGTTCACGATAATAACGATTCCCGAGATTTCCCTCTAATGTAAGATGCACTGTGGCTCCAAGTACGCCATGTATAGGCGTGACTATTGGCATCCATATCATATTTACTCTTTTTGAGTCGTGGCAGTTTCTTATATTTACATTTCAAGCTTGTTTATCCTACTTATGCCTCTGTATTGTATTTTTCGAAGAATTGAGTCATAGATTGTGGTACTGTTCAGTCGAAAGATTGGTTCGCTCAGCATGTTAATCGCACCAGTGTTTTCTAAACAACCCTCTTTCAAGACTACGGCAAGTGTCGATGACCCGTATACGATGTTAAAGGGCACCATCGTCGACCGGTGGAAGCGCTCTTTCTAACCCTTTGCAGAAAACTTTTCTGCCAGCCTTTCTTTCCAGCTCCTTCTGTCCCATCTCTCTCAGGAAAAACCTTTAGTGTAAACGCTACAGCTGAGCGGGCAATCATTGAACGAATTCTGATGGGGCGGGGGAGTAAATTTGAAAATCCATTTCAGATGCTGGGCAACCCTTCGGAAAGAAAACTAAATAGAATAGCTTTGTCTATGCTCGGCGTTCAAATACGTTGGGTTGGCCTATCTTTTTTCAGTTTTCCCCTTTTTCCCATATTTCTAGAACCAATCCGAATCGTAACAAAGGTTGAACTGAAGTAAGCAAATATCAGAGCTCATAAATACATTCCAAAGTATTCCTACTCTACTGCAAAGTAAGGAGAATACCTTTTGAACTATTAGTATAACTCACGATACAACCTAGATTTTGTACGCCCACCCTCTACCATGTACACAGCACTCACTCAAGCCAACCACATCCTTCACCCCTTCTGAGGCAATTAATTGGCACCAGAGCTGTTCGAGAAGGAGGTGAGTACCACATTGATGGGTTTTCCCTCCATATCTCCCACTTTTTTTGAACTGATGATCATGCCGAGTACGTTAGGATTATAAAAAGGATAGTTCAGCCTGAGATATAGGCAACAACTCGATTGTTTTTTAGAGAAATGCTGCAAAACACACTTTTGGTTCCACGGCATCCGAGATTTCGCTTGAAAAAAATTATGGCTGCTGGGAAGTGTTATTCCTATCTTTTTCTTTGAAGCCTTCTCCAGCTTCCTCGTGAGACTTTCAATAATGATATAGAAATAGGTTGGGCAGAACTCGGCGATATCGGCTTATACTCGTAGTCAAGAAGGATATTCTATCGAAAACACAAAATAGTACACTGCTGTTAAATCCTGAATAGCTCTAAGAAATAAGTCGTAACAACTAGGAGCCGATTGTGTTAGATTAAATAATGTGGATAACAAATATGCAGAGGATCTAAAAAGCCATAACGTCATGCATTTTTCATATTAGGCACACACCTGAGTAAAGGAATTCAAAGAAAAAACCTTAAGACGTTCTCTAAGCTCCCTTTGCCATTAATTGGACTTTTTCGACACTTTCCATTCAATTTTGGAGTGCAGCCGCATCAACATAAACGATCACTACATGGTAAGATGCTGGGAACCAACTCTAATGACTTATCTATCGAAGGTTAAAAGAACTTTTTAATTTGTATACTGTATATTTAATTCACATGTACCATTAGTGCCCTTACACATGGGAAACACTATACCGGCGGCAACATGCACATTTCGTTCTCATGCAAACACGAACCGATTTCAGGGAAAGTGGAAGACAGTTTCTGAACACTAGCAGGAAGTGTTAGTATATCAGAAACGCATCCGCAAGTGTTTTGCAGACTGCTTACAGAGTAGATATTCTGAAGGTAGGAGGGTGGCAGTCGAAATGACTTGCCAACGGAGGCCAATGCTTGCGTGGGACAAGGCCCAACAGAGTGATGGTGTGACACCTCATTTTGACGCTAGTGGGAGCAAATAGTTCAATGGCCACTTTGGGGCCGAAACTTCGGCTGGTCATTCCGCAGACGTTTATATGAAATCCGATGGCTCTTTGCTGGAAAATCACCTTTTTAAGTAATGTTCTCGACCGGTGTTTAATTCCATATGGTTTTTTTGGGAAGTAAAATTGCGAAGGAGAAGCGGATGTGGTGAAATAGCAAGTGGCGCACTATCACACACGCATGGCAGGGGGTTCCCGGGAACGAATCCCGGAACGATATCCGCCTAATCCAACCGAGCTTTCCATCCCTCCGTGGTCAGTCAATTGGTACCAGTCTGGTCTGGGAGGATAAAAGCACTGACTGTAATATTGGGGCTACCGCAAGTCATTGCATAGGCCAGATATATTCATTCAATATGCCACTACTATTCTGAATGGAAGTTGAAGGTGGGAGCGCATCCCTCAGACCTAATTGACTAACGCTCAGAGGCTTTATTCTTTGACTCTACTCTTTTAGCTACGAAAGTCTCAGCAGGGAAAAGCCTCTAGCTCCAATCCCTATGCTATATCGTTTCTGTTTACACGAAAGGTGCGTAGTAACGTTTTTCCCTAGGAGCTTATCTTCAACAACAATTTTACGCATTCAAGAGTGCCGTCGAGGTAGAAGGACTTCTCGTGGCTCTCATATAGGATAAAAAAACCTCCCGCAGAAAAACTTCCGATCCATTAGTCTTACTTCAATTTTCTCCTCAGTTTTTTGACTAAATATTGAAAAAATCTAACAATAAGAAGATCACTTCGTAGTACCCAAGAAGCAACATGATTTTATCAAAGGAAGTTAGACTGGGACTCAACTACTTAATATTCATGGAGGCCTGGAGCCTATTGTAATAATTTACTCCAACTCTGAAGAAGCATCTGTCAAAATTCCGAAGTAGGAAAAATTATTTCAAGCGGTTATCGACAAGTTATTCAAATTTTAGGCCGGTTTCTGGTAATGTGAAGCAGTGGTATGCCGTACATGCTAACCTTTATTATCGTTTAAAGTATCGCTCCTGCAAAAGCCCATCCGCTCTCTGAGCCTTTGCTTAATGGAGCCAGTAACCTGTGTCGGCATAACGCGTTCAGGACTGAGAGTCGCCGACAGTCTTCGATATTAATCATTTCAGTTTCCTTATGATGACAAAACTGACATCACACAACATTGTGAGGCTACACTTTAACGCAAGAATCCCAAGGTTGCAATTGATGCGTATAAACGTCTACCAGAGCAAGATCGTAGAAGTAAACATAACAAAGATCTACAAAGAAACCCTAACGACTGTTTCCTAGTGGACTGCACGGCAGAGAGTATATGAAGTACCCCATCTGTCAACAAAAAGAGAGGAAAGAGAAAAAAAGAGAACCACGTTCAAAACCAAAGCCTAGTTGCTGGATGGGGCTCATTCCCTATTTGAAGTACACTACCGTTCTGAATTACAAGGGTCTGTTTGTGCTCGACTTCATACTCGTCCCAAACAATGAAGTGGTCGTCCCATGCACATGTGAATTGTTTTACGTTCTAGACAAGTTCAGCAGTTTTTACCTGAGTTTGTTCCCACATCAGCGTGTGTTTATATATTATCATCCAATCGAGGACAACAAATAGTGTTGGCGGAATCGCCCACACCCCTAGCGTGCCCTTCAAACAGCTCAAGAGACATCTGGACTAGCGCTCTCTTGACATTTCGCATGAGGATTTGGAAATATAATAATTGGTCTCCTTGCCAAACAAGAATTCACCCAGAAAAACTGGCTTCAAGACACAGGGAAAGGGAGCGGACTTGGGGGGAAATACATTGAAAAAGAAGATGACCGTATGTCAGGTGGCATCGCCAGTTTGCACTCTGACCCATCTTCGCCTATAATTAATGAGGAAGGAATATCAAGCGCTATCAAGGGTCAAGATTTTCTTCTGCATACAAAATATCTGCAACAGCCACTTCATATTTCTTCCTCCGCCCTACTTTTCGCCGGAATATTCAGTTGCGAAGAAGCTGTTTTAGAGAGTAAAGCAGCAGCTTACAAGTTCAGTTTATGCGGCTTTGCAAGACCAATGAAATGCC